CTGCCTTTAGCCCCCGACGGGCAAATGGCTGGCACGGCGGAGCCAGCAGCCACAGGGGCCCCCGCAGCAGCTGGAAGAAGGACAGGGGCAGCCGGCCAATGTCTGCGCTGAGGCACTTGGGGAGGGCCCCCTCAGCAGCAGCAGCAGCAGCAGCAGCTTGGTGCTCCGGCCGCTGCTGCTGCTGCTGCTGCGGCAAGCGGCAGAAGTTCCCGCGGTACACAGCGCATGCGGAGTCGCTGATGTCCACGGCCGCAACCAGCTGGAAGGGAAGCTCCCCGCTGCTGCTGCTGCTGTGCGGTGCAGCAGCTTGGGCTGCTGCTGCTGCTGCTGCTGCTGCTGCTGTGTGGGGCTGTTCGTCTAGCAGGGGATGCACGCAGTAGCTGCTGCCGTCAAGAGGGATGTTGTGGGCAGTGAGTCCTTCGTAGCAGTCCAGCGGCGCAGAGCCGCTGCTGCCTGGGGCAGGAATGCCCTTGAGGCAGCAGCAGCCCGCTGCTGCTGCTGCTGTTGCTGCTGCTGCTTTCTTCGCAGAGCCCCTTCTGGGGCTGGTGTTCGGAGCCGGGGCCGGCAGCGGGGCCCCGCAGCAGCAGCAGTTGAGCTTCAAATTGTGTCTGGACCTGAAGAGCCTCAGTTTCTGGGCATGCAGGAGGCCGCAGTGCATGCCCCCAATTCCGCTGTAGAGCTCCAGCACCTGCACTGGCTGCTGCGCAGCCATTTCAGCAGCAAAGAGAAAACCAGATCCCATAAAACTGTATTATTTGTTTACTTGTGTGACTTTAAGTCACTTTTATTACGTTTAAAATCAAAAAGTGCTCAAGACTGCATACACTCCATTGGAGTGCCCATCGCCCCCGCAGAGCAGCAAACCGGCACCTCCTGCGCAGGCCAGAAGAAGAGGTTTGGCCCGGAAGAATAAACTGAAGCGCTCAAAATAGATTAAGTTAAACAAAAAACCGAGAAATTAGATGAAAAATGATAGAAGACAGGCGAGGAACAGGAGGTGGGGCCCAGTCGCTCCACAGTCTTTGAAGCGTTTGCCTCGGCTCGCCAGAGTGCACGGGCAGTTCGGTACTTAATGAGGGAAGAGCAAAGAAGACAAATTTCAAACAAATCAAATGAAATGCCCTCCTAAGAAGCTTACAAATAGGCAAAGAAGAAAGCCCCGGCGCACAGCCAGAGCTCTGGGGGCCCCCAGCCGGTAGAGGCCCTAAGTGTCCCACACGGTCAACTCCACAGCACAGGCTTCCCTTGAACGCTCACCTTCCTTGGTAGAAAACCTTGTAATAAAAATACCATTTGTTAAGTACAGAGAGTCTGCAGAAAGACAGCAACGAGCTGTTTCGACCGCCTGCTCTTCTCCCTACACCCACAGTCACCAGCGGCCACCAACGCCACCGGCGCAGTCGTGGCGCCAGGAGGCCCTATACATTTCCACGACTCCATCAGTCTGCAGAAGATAAATTTTAATTGTTAATTTAATTTTAAAAAGCACAAATTGGCAACTTTGCTTCCTGGCTTTAGGGCTGAGTCTGCAATGCCTCCACAACTCCATCGATGCCCACCAAGCTGGGGGTAGACAGAATCCACGCCGCGATCTGCGGCTTGAAAGAACCAGTTTGAATCAAAATAGACAATTTGTTCGGATTTTTAATAATTAAATTACTTCAAAAAGGAAAAAGACGAGCTATCTAGGATTGTTGGAGTGGTACCTCACAGTCCGAGATAGTATAGTGGCTAGTATTTCCGCCTGTCACGCGGAAGACCCGGGTTCAATTCCCGGTCTCGGAGCTTCCCCTTTCGATCTAACTTTCTTTTTCAGTGTTTTAAATTTAGAATTTGAGGACTACTTTTTGTTGTTTGCCTCTATCTTTTCAGTCTTCACCGCCGCTTGCTGCAGCGAAGCAGCAAGGTGCAACACAACGGCAGCACCGGCGGTTGACAGGTCAGCAGCAGCTGCATCAACAGCACCTAGTTTTCGGCAGCAACAGTAGCAGCAACAGCAGCAAGAACTACACCAGCATGAGCTGCAGCAGCAACCGCTCCATCAGCAGCAGCGCCAAAGAAGAATTGAAAGCACCCAAAATTCATTTTCCGCTAAAATAGCGCCAGAAGCAAATGTCCGCTTCAGTGGGGGCTCCAGGGGGCCCCCCAGTACCCACAGGGGCCCCCGTAGTGCCCTGGGGGAAATTAAGGCCTCACATGGCCATAAGGCTGGTAGTAGGGGCCCCACTTGCCCCCCTATCGTGCCACACTGCTGCTACTGCTGCTGCCGCTGCTGCTGTTGCTGCTGCTGCTGCTGATGATGCTGCTGCTGCTGCTGCTGCCGCTGCTGCTGCCTCTGGCTGCCCCGTTTCGGGCTGCTGGGCTGACAAAATAACGGCAAAGCAGTGCCTGCACGCCGCCGTGGTTTCGAACTGCAGTGCCCCGCCGCTGCTGCGGCGAATTTACCTGTCTCAGCTGGCGCTGCTGCTGCTGCTGCTGCTGCAGCGGACTTTGGGCGACATGGACATTCGATGCTGGCGCTGCAGCGCCTCTTGAGGGTCCCAGCACGGGTGAGACTCGCTCAGATTGTTTTCGTTCCTGTTCCTGCTGCTGCTGCTGCTGTTGGTGTCTTCTCTCTACGGGCGTCCCCAAAATTCTAAGGCCAGCTTCAGTACTGCTGTTCCGGTTGTTGTTGTTGCTGCTGCTGCTGCTGCCGCTGTTCCTGCGACTGTTGCGGCTAGTGCTCTTGCTGCTCCTTCCGCTGCTGCGGCTTGCCGCGAGACTCCGGCTGGGAGAAGTCACATCGCTGCTGTCGCTGCCATCGCTGTCACTACTGCTGCTGCTGCTGCTGCTGCTGCCAGTGTTACTGCCGCTGCTGCTGCTGCTGCTGCTGCTACTGGGCACAATGAAGTCGCGCAAGTCAGAGGAGTCGTCGCTGCAGCTCTCTGTAGCGCTAACCGAAGGCCTCCGTTGTCTTCTCACGACTCGCAAGCGACGTGCAGCGCGCACGGGGGTTCTGCGGCAGTTGCTGCTGCTGCTGTTGCTGCTGCTGCTGCTGTTGCTGCTGCTGCTGCTGTTGCTGCTGCTGCGAGCAACCCTCCTCCCCCGCGCAGCAGCGCTGGGCCTGGAGTTGCTGTTGTGCGCAAACACCTCGAAATCCACGTGTGCAATGCTGCTGCTGCTGCTGCTGCTGGTACCAGTAGCCGCAGCAGCAACCCGTTCACCTGCAGCCTTTTTGAGCTTTTTCTTGGGTCTTGCTCCAGGCGCGGGGCCCGCCTGCGCTGCGCTGCTGCTGCTGCTGCTGCTGCTGCTGCTGCGCGGCCTCCTGGCGCTTCGTTGCCTCGTGTTTGTCTGCTGCTGCCGCCTGAGCCTGCGCTGCTGCCTGCGCTGCTGCTGCTGCTGCTGGCGCTGCTGCTGGCGCGCGTCTCTTTGCTGCTGGCACCTGCTGCAGCACCAGTCCCCCTCAGGCACTGCAGCAAGCGGCGGGGAAAGGCAGTAAATGTGAAAGGCGCCGTCGCACTCATCGCAGAGCAGCAAACAGCTCCAGTCGTCGTCGCGGCCGCAAACTTCGCACCCGCCAACCGATCCCAACGACCCCGATCCCGATCCCGATCCCCGACGCCGCGGCTGTGGGGGCGGCAGGGGCACCTCTTCCACCAGCTGCAGGCCTATTAAGCAGCCATCCCCTGCTGCAGCATCTGCTGCTGCTGCAGGATCAGCTCCTGTTGCTGCTGCTTCTGCTGGAGCTGCGCCTTCGGCGCTGCTGCCTCCCGGCTTGGGCTGGCAAGCGGCGACAATACGCAGCGAGGCGCCGCCCGGCTGCTGCTGCTGCTGCTGCTGCTGTTGCTGCTGCTGCGGCTGCTGCTGCTCACTTTTGACTGCAGCATTGCTGGGGTCCATCTTTACAGCAGTCCCAAAGGGTTCTTGTTTGGTAGCTTTGCCGCTGCCGCCGCTGCTGGCAGCAGCTGCAGCAGCAGCAGCTGCTGCTGCTGCTGCACTGACCCGCCGGCGAACAATGGTAGTGAATGCTGTAGAGCACAGCGGGCACCTGCTGCTGATTGACGCCCATCTGCAGCAGCAGCAGCAGCAGCAGCAGCAGCAAACGTACATACTTGTGTGGGACGGCAGTAGTGCAGCAGCCACAGCAGCAGCAGCAACAAGCTTACTTGTATAAGCACGCGAAGCAAAAAAGGTGGCAGCAGGTGGGAAGTGAGGCGATCTCCTGCTGCTGCAGCAGCAGCTCTGAGCAGATGACGCACAGCTCGTCGCGTAGGTCTACCCGCAGCACAGCAGCAGCAGCAGAGCCCCAGCCTGCTACTTTCCTGCTGCTGCTGCTGTTGCCGCTAAGCCTACGGGCAGCAGTAGCACCTCCCGCGGAAGTGCCTGCTGAGTTTGCAGCCGCATTTCCAGCAGCTGGCGCTGCAGATGCTGCAGCACTCGGGGCAGCAGCAGCTGCTGCTGCAGCCGGCTCCCCACTGCTGTTGCTCGCAAAGTCCTGCAGCAGCACGGCAAATAGCAGCAGACGCTCTCCACCCATCACCAGCAGTAGCAGTAGCAGCACCAACAGAAATGACAAGTCGCCCGCTATGAGAACAGCAGCAACAGCGGAAGCACCGTCAGCAGCAGCAGCACTTGGAGTGGCAGCAGCAGCACCAACAGCAGCAACATTACCTCTGCGTTTGCTGCATCAAGCAAGTCGAGTATGTCTTCTCCCCACTCCACGCGAAGCCACGAGTAGTCCTGCTGCTGCTGCTCTGGCTGCTGCGGCGGCGGTTGCTGCTGCTGCTGTGGCTGCTGCCTCTGTCCGCATTGCTGCAGGGGATTGAGTTGCTCTGCTTGGTGGCTGTGTTGCTGCTGCTGCAGACGTTGCTGTTGCAGCTCTCCTAAGCCCTGCTGCTGCTGCTGCACAGTAGATGTTGCAGGGTCTGCTGAGAGCCTCTGCGGTGTCGCCGCTGCCCGTGGAAGCCGCTGCTGCTGCTGCAGCCGCTGTTGCTGCTGCTGCTGCTGCCAGCCTGAATATTGCTGTTGCCGGTGGCACTGCTGCTGCTGCCAGTACCGCTGCTGCTGCTGCTGCTGCTGCCGCCGGTGGGGAACAGGGGGTGTCGACGGGTCCGCGCAGCGCAGCGCAGGTCCTGTGAAGCTGCCACTGCTGGCGCTGCTGCTGCTGCTGCTGCTGCTGTTGCTGCTGCTGCTGTTGCTGCAGCTGTTGGTGTTAAGCTGCATGCTGTAGGTGCTCCACACCCTCCGAGGCTTCGCCCACTGAGCTTGCGCAGCCGTTAATGTTTGCTGCCACACGCGCGGTTGCTGCTGCTGCAGACGCTGTTGCTGCAGCCCGTGCTGCAGCTGCTGCGGCTGCTGCAGCGGCTGCTCCACCTGTTTCTGGTGTGCGAATGGCCACTGCTGCTTCTGCTGCTGGGGGAACACATTCTCACGCAGCGGACTGCCTTGCCGCTGCTGCTGCTGCGCTTCCGAGTTAAGGCCCCGCAAGACGCTGCTGTCACTGCTGCTGCAAAGTCCAGCCCCCCAAAAGTTCCTGTTGTTGTTGCTGCTGCTGCTGTTGTTGTGTTGGTGGTGGTGGCGGGCGACAGCGTCCAGCAGTGCAAGAGGAGGGTTTCTCGATTGGACTGCTGTTTGCTGCTGCTGCTGCTGTTGCTGCTGCTGCTGCTGAGGTGGCTGCTGCTGGAGAGACTGCTGCTGGAAATACCGAGATGCTTCCAGGGCACTGCTTGAATGGCCGTGCTGCTGCGCCTGCTGCTGTTGTTGCAGCGGCCACTGCTGCTGCTGCTGCTGTGGCAGCTGCTGCTGCTGCCGCATTGCCGGCGCTGCATTTTCCCCAGAGACGCTTGAACCTGAGACGCAAGATATACCGTAAGCCTGCTTCTGCTGCTGCTGCTGCTGCAGTTGAGGCTTCTGCTCGGAGGGCCGCTGCATAAAAGGCGAAGGCGCCATATGGGAGCCCGTGCTGGCACTTGGAGAGAAACCGTTTAGCTGCTGCTGCTGCTGCTGCTGGTTTAGGCCCTTCGGCAGCAGGCCCATAGCAGCAGCAGCATCTGCACAGCGCAAAGTGCGTGGGGTCCCTGCACCCTTGCTGCTGCTGGTGCTGCTGCTGCCGTTGCCGCCGATGCTGCTATCGCCGCTGCTGCTTCCGTTGCAGTTGCTGCTGCTGCTGCTGTTTCCATTGCAGATGCTGGATATTGGAGTTTGCGTATCCTCCATGGAGGAACCAACCTGCAGCTGCTGCTGCAGTTTTACGCACTGCTGCATCAGCTCTACAGCTGCAGACCTTCATGAGGTGCTGCTGCTGCAGCTGCTGCTGCCTGACCCATAAAGTGGAGTTGATGGTGCACAGAGAGAGCAGCAGCAAAGGCGCTCTTCTTGCGCTGGCCTGCTGAAGAGCAGCAACCGCAGCAGCGCCATCGGCCTTGATGCTGCGGAGGCCGTTGCTGCTGCTGCTGCTTCCGTCGCCGCCGTTGCTGCCGTCACCAGGTCGCTGGCAGCTGCCGATTATGCAGTTATTCCCGCTGCTAAGGGCGTGATCTTAATGCGTGCGTTGCTCTTGTGTTGCTGCTGCCGACTTGCTGTCTGGTTACAGCAGCAGCAGCAGGGGAAGCGGCAGAGGCAGCGGCCCAGAATTGGCCAAGCCCCTCAAGCTGAGTGCAGCATGACGTAAAGAAGCAGCGAATGAGACTGTTGTTCTGAGCTGAGACGGAAGGCAGCCTTACGCAGGGGCAACAGCCGCAGCACCAGCAGCAGCAGCAGCAGCAAACCGCGTCTGCTAAGGGTTACAGCAGCTTGAGTTGCTCTGAGGCCTTCGAAGAGCGGGCACACGGTAAAAATCAGTAGTGACTATGAGCGCAAAAATCATATTGTTGCAATTCGGTGGAACTTGCTGGGGGGTGGTGGGGTCGTTTCTGCTAAGGCTGCTGCTGCTGCTGTTGCCGGCTGCGCTCTGCCTGCTGCTGCTGCTGCTGCGGCGGCGGTGGCGGACGCATGCTTCTTTGCATGCATGCATACGGTATGGATAAGGTCTCACGAGACTGTAAAGAAAAACACGAGCCACATTTTAGTCCAGTTGCGAGTTCTGGGAGCCGCTGCAGCAGTAACAGGAACACTGCAGCAACAACAGCAGCGAGAACGGGAACGGCAGCAGGTGCTGCAGCTGCTGTGCAGTTTCAAGTGCCCACCTGACAGCAACACATTCTCTAGCGGCGAAATTGCCCTTTGACTTTCTCGGCGCACCGCCGCAGCAAGAACCCCCGCTGCTGCTGCTGCTGTTGCCGCTGCCGCTGTTACTCCTGCGGCTGCTGCAATCGCGTCGCGTCGGCCACAGCTAGAACAGAGTGGATCGCAGCTTCACACCCTGCGCAGCAACACAACGCCGACAGCAGCAGCAGCCGACAGTGTCTGCCAAGTCCTCAGAGCGAGCTTGCTTGTTGCTGCTGCTAGAGGCTGCTGCCGTTAGTTACTTCTGGTGCTGCAGCAGCTGCGCCGCAGCAGCAAAAAGCCACTGGGGGCTGTTTCATTCTTGGGTCGTGGGTGCAGGTGTGGGCTACCCCACAGTGGCTGCTGCTGTTGCTGCTGCTGCTGCCGTAAAGAGGAAGTCTTTGTAGCGCTGATGCCAGACACGAGAGGTAGGCCGTGGCCGTTCGCAGCAGCAGCTGCTGCTGCAGCTTCTGCTGCTGCTCCCTGTGCTGCTGCTACACTTTCGTTGTAATAGCAGCGGCAGCAGCTCCAACGGGCAATGCATGCGCACCGCTTCCAGAGGCTTGATTCTGCTGCTGCTGCAGGTGGTGTGTCTGCCTTAGCGGGGGTTAAGCCCCTGGCCTCTGTTGCTGCAGCAGAACAGCGCAGCAGCAGCAGCCGAAGCGGGGGCAAGAAGAAGAGTCACCATCACCACAAGAAGCGCCGCCGCACGAGCAAGCACAGCCACCGCAGCAGCAGCAGCAGCAGCAGTAGCAGCAGCAGCAGCAGCAGCGAAAATGAGGAGGAGGAGCTGCCCTTTTTCATGATGGACTCCACCATTCGTGCTGCAGTGGCCGAGCGGAAGAAGCAGCAGAAGCAGCAAAAGAAAGAAGCGAAGCGGCAGCAAAAGGCAGCAAAAAAGGCAGCAAAAAAAGAGGCCAAGCGCCTCAAGAAACTTCAGAAAAAAGGGAAGAAAGATGAAGCAGCAACGAGCAGCAGCAGCAGCAGAAAGCGCAAGAGGGAGAGAGAGAGCAGCGATAGCAGTGGGGAGGACAGCGACAATCCCCGCAAAAGCAAGAGCCCGAAGTCGCCGAAGCAGCAGGTGGTTGCTGTTGCTGCTGCTGTGGTTGCCGTTGCTGCTGCTCTTGTTGCCGTTGCTGCTGCTCTTGTTGCTGTTGCTGCTGCTCTTGTTGCTGCTCTTTGCTGGCACCTGTGCTGCTAGTGGCTAGGACAAAGGGAGTGTGCTTGCCGTGCTGTGCGGCGTTGCCTCGCAGGACTGAAATGCGGCCTCTGCACAGCAGCAGCAGCAGCAGCAGCAGCAGCAGAGAGAACGCCAGCAGGGGGAATTCACGGGCTACTGCGGAGGTGACAGCAGAAGCAACGGCGATCATAAAGCAGCAGCAACAGGAAAATGCTTTATTTTCGACGTTGGAAGAGCCGTTAGTTAAATTCATGCCGGTTTTTAATGCCAATGCTCTTGCCTGGCCAGCTAGCTAGCTAGCCAGCTAGCTAGCTAGCTAGCTAGCCAGCCAGCTAGCTTATATTCAGACAGCTATGCGCGGGTTCACTGTCAACAAGCTAGCTAGCTGACTGGCTAGCTACTCTTGCTCGTGGGGACCAGCTGGCCGTTCGTATGGCCAACTGAGTAGCTAGCTAGCCAGCTAGCTACCTAGGTGGCTAGCTAGCTAGCCAGCTAGCTACCTAGGTGGCTAGCTAGCTAGCCAGCTAGCTACCTAGGTGGCTAGCTAGCTGGCTAGCTAGCTGGCTAGCCAGCTAGATAGCTAGCTAGCTACCTAGCTAGTTAGTTGGCTAGCTAGTTAGCTAGCTAGCTAGCTAGCTAGGAGTCCGGTCTGACGTGCGGCTCGCGAGGAGGAGGGAGCTGGCCGTCGATTTTGTTCCGCGGCAGCGCGCTCCACTGCCTGCTGCTGCTACGTTGCTGCAGCAGCAGCGGTGCCGCCGTTGCTGCGTTGCTGCAGCAGCAGCGTTGCTGCTGCTGATGCAGATGCACTAGATTCTTGTCTTGGGTTGGTACCTGCAGTAGTGGCCTGCTGCTGCTGCTGCAGTCTTTGTCGCCAGCTAGCCGTTGCTGCGTTCTTCTTCGGGTCCCCTGCGTGCTTTTTTGCACTGCAGGGGAAAGAGGCTCTGCTGCTGCTGCTGCTGCCGCTGTGGCAGCAGCAGCTGCCGTCGCGACCGTGCTTGTAACGCAGCTTGCACGCATGTCGATCCGAAGAAACCGCCGCAGCAGCAGCAACGGCAGCAGCAGTGATAGTGTTCGCTGTTTAGTCTGTTTGCTGTCACCGTTTGCGCTGCCTGCGGGCCATGGCTCCTGCTGCTTCTGTGGCTTGTCCTGCTGCTGCTGGTGGCCTCACAGCCAGCAGACAGCACCTGTGGTCCTACTGCAGGCGGCTCCTGATTGCTGCTGAGCAGCAGCAGCAGCAGCGGCAGCAGAAAAACAGACGCAGATTCATTTTTTGGGGTTTGCTGCGTGGGAGCCTGTGCAGCAGGTTGTGTTGCTATCTAATGCTGCTTCTGAACTTCGTGGCACTGGAGCTGCACTTAACTAGTGTAGTGGCGGCAGTGAGCTATGAAACAGGTGCTGCATTGGGGGCTCAGGGGGTCACAGCAGCAGCAGCAGCAGCCACAGCGGGCAGACACACATAGCTAGATACCCAGAGATAAGTCAAGAGAGGCGCAGGACGCACATAGGCGACTAGGCAAGAGGAGAGCAGAAACAGCATCACCGCAGCAAACAGGAGCAAACGCACAGCAGCGAACATGAACTACTGGGCAGGCGCCCTGGGTCTGCTGCTGCTGCTGCATGCTGCTGCAGCCTCCTTTTGCAGCAGCCCCGGGGACCCAAGCCCTCCAGCCTGCCTGCCTTTGAAGGCACAGTGGCTGAAGAGCCTCCGCAGGGCTCCATGTGGGGCTCTGCGATGGGGAGCCCCAGGGGGCCCCCTGGCAGTGTGGGGCCCCAGTTTGTGGGGTCGCGGGGCTGCAACGGTGTTAAGGCATTTGGCTGTCTTTGCTGCTGCGGCTGCTGCTGCTGCTGCCGTTGGTGGGTCTGAACTGGTCCTGGAAGACGCGCCCAGGCAGTGCTTTGGAAGGCAAGTGCTGGTTAAATGTGGGCATCTTCTTTGTGCTGCACTTCGTGCTCTTTAAATAATTGCTTTTTGCAGAAGCTGCAACTTTCTAGCTAGGCCTTAGGACACGCAGCAACTGTTTCCTGAGCATGGGCGAGGGCGAGCCGCACAGAGAGTGACGCGCACGGAGGCTGCGCCTGATTGGGCGCGCTGAGGCCACGAATTTGCTGCTGCTGCTGCTGCTGCCGCAGCTGCTGCCGCTGCTGCTGCCGCGGCTGCATTTGCTGGTGGGTAGTGGTGGAGCTTCAGGGGCGGTGGAGGGTGCCGGTGTCGGTGTTGCTTCAGCTGCTATTACTTGCGCTGATGTCGTGTGGGGCTTGACTTGGTGTGGCTGGCTGTTGCCGCTTTTGCTGCTGCTGCTGCTGTGCTGCTAGTTGTTGCGTGCCAGGTCTGTGTCTATTCTTACAAATCGGGCGATGAGAGCGAATGGGTCCAGTAGCCTCGAGAAGAAGCTAATGGGGGAGCTGGCGGCGCTTGTAGATCCCTTGATGTTTTCGTTGCTGCTGTTGCTGCTGCTGCTGTTGCTGCTGCTGCTGTTGCTGCCGCTACTGATGCTGCTCGTATCGGGTGACGACGGCAGGGGTGCGCTCTCGGAGCCGCCAACGGGCTCAGGGGGGATCACGACGTTGTAGACGTAGCCGGTGCCCGGCGCTGCTGCTGCTGCCGCTGCTGCTACGTCGTACCCGTACCCGTCTGTCGTCATTTGCCCAGCAGCAGCAGCAGCGGCAGCAGTAGCGGGAGACGGTATCGGGGGTAGCGTTTGGTCAGCAATGGCTGCTGCTGCGGCGGCGTCGCCGGCGTTGGCAGACGGGGCGGGAGCGGACGCGTGAAGGAGCTGGATCTGATGCTGCTGCTGCTGCTGCTGCCAGTGGGCAAAGGCAGCAGCCTGCGGCTCCTCCAGCCCCATGTCCCGCTGGTTCAATGCATGCACCAGCTCCACAGCTGCATGTGCGTTCACAGTGCCCCCGCTGGCCACAGCAGCTTTCAGCGGCGGCAGCGGCGCTGCTGTCGACAGCAGCACGTCTCGCACTTCTGCAGCCGTCAGGCTGGGCCGCTCCGCCCACACCAGCGCCGCAATGCCTGCGCAGCAGCAGCGCCAGCAGCAGCGGCAGCACCAAAGGCAACCACACACAAGCGACATCCGCGGCTGGGCGGGCTCTCGGGCTTACAATATATATATATATATTTATATCTTTATCTATATTATACACTATATATGAAATAGGAAGAAGCAGATAGAGACATCCAAAAGCGGATACAAATAAAATACTGAAGGAGCAGCAACAACAATGAAGTAGACAAGAGAAACAGCTGGCCCCGACGGCCAGAACAGGGGCTGGCCGGCAGTAGCAAAAAAATGCCACGCGAGAGAGCCGAAGCGCCTAAGGTCGCCGCAGCAGCTACAGCAGCAGCAGCTTCAGCAGCAGCTGCTGCAGCTGCTGCAGGGGCTCAAGGGGTCAGGGGCAGCCCAGCAGGAGAGATTGGAGCTGGGGCCTCCAGAGGCAATGGACTTGAGGAAACGGAGAAGAAAGAGGGCAGAGGAAATCAGGAAAGCAGCAAAAAAGTTGAATCAGTTGACAAAAGGCAGTTTCTCAGGGAGTTAAAGAAGAAGAGAAAACAAAAATTAAAGAAATAAATGAAATAGATGAAGTAAAAGAAACAAAATGTTCAAAAGTACCTGCAACGAGAGGAGTCGCCATTGAAGTGCCGCTCTTGTAGCCGTACTTATCGCCGAATTGCCTCGCAGGCAAAGTCGATATGATGTCAGTGCCCGGGGCAGCCAGGTCCACGTTGTACTTTCCTGAAGCACTCACCGCAGGCTGCTGCTGCTGTTACTGCTGCTGCTGCTGCTGCTGCTGCTGTGGTGGTGGTGGTGGTGGCCGCGGCAGGCGACGCGCAGGGTAGTTGCCCGATAACAGCATCAGCAGCGGCGACACGAGAAGGCAGCGGCAAAAAAGCGGCGGCAACAATACAGCAGCAGTAAGACGAACAGCAGCAGCAGCAGCAGAAAGAGCCGCAGCAGCTGCTGCTGCTGCACTGCTGCTGCATACCGTAATTGGAGGAAGTAGAGAGTTTGCCCGTGGGCGCGAGATTGGCAACCCTCAGCATGTTTTTAAAGCCGCGGCCAGTGCGCCAGTCGTAGCCCCAGTTAGGCGGAAAATCCTTAGCCCTAAATGCAGTAGCAGCAGCAACAGCAGCAACAGTGGCAGCACAACGGAGCAGCGGCAAGGACAGGGGCGTGAGCAATAGAGGCAGCTGCTGCAGCAGCCAGTGCGTGCTTGAAAAGACACCTCAAGAGCGGCGACAGTACCGCGGAAACAGCAGCACCAGCAGTACTGGTGCAAAGCAGCAGCAGAGCCGTTAGAACCCGCATGACCAGCAGCAGCAGCAGCAGCAGTAGTGATAGTAGCACCATCAGAATCCACATCAGCAGCAGCAGCATCAGCAGCACTGACGAGCAGCCGCAGCAGGACCAGCGCCGCCAGAATCCGCAGAAGCAGCAGCAGCAACAGCGCAGCAAAAGCACAGCAGCAGCAGCAGCAGCAGGGCGGCGTGGCCCGCGTACGTGGTGTTGTCTGCGCCCGCGTTGTCGACTGCAGCAACGAAGAGCTGGCCCTTGGCCTCGGCCTGCTCGAGAGCCAATCTGAGGGCTTCGGATCTGAAAGAAAAGCCCCAGGAGTTGGTGCTGATCTTCGCCCCCATTTGCAGCGAATAGGCAATGGCCTCCACCGCGGCGCTGCTGCGCTTTTCAAACTTCAGAGGCATCAGCTTCACTCGCCAGTTCGCGCCTGCAGCAGCAGCAGCAGCAGCACAGCCTAACGTCGGGCCAGCTGCCGAAGCGCAGAGGCAGAGAAACCAGCAGAACCCGCAAACCGCAGCCGCAGCAGCAACAGCAGAAAATGCAGTATCAGGAGCATGTTTCTGGGCCCGGCTGTGGCAGCAGCAGCAGCAGCAGAGCTCTGCGCGCTACAACCTGCTTGCTGCTGCTGCTGCGCCCCTTCTTCGCGGGCCCAGCAGCGGATTCACACAGATGAGGAGGCAAAGAGTAGCAGGCAAATGCATTTAGACAGCAACAAATCTGTCTTCAAAAGCTAGGAAATACACATTTTTTACCAAAACTCCCATCAAAAGGAATAAACAAATATGCATGGAAGGAATGAAAACAAGTAAAGAGCCCCTCAAGAAAGTGCAAAAGCTCGCCAATGCCCAAACTGCCGCAACGGCTGCGGTGCTATTTATATGGCTAGCTGCAGAAGCGCCTCTGGCTGTGTCTACAGCTAGCTACGCATGCAGCTGGCAGCAGCTAGCTACGCATGCAAATAGCAGCAGCTGGCTACATATGCACCTGGCAGCAGCTAGCTACACGTGCAGCCAGCTAGCTACTCATGCAGCTGGCAGCGGCCCCAGCTAGCCCCCCAGCCAGCTAGCTCACTGCCCACCACCCCGCTAGCTAGCCACTTGCCCGACGCGCAGCCGCAGCGCAGCCCGACGCGCAGCTGCAGCGCAGCTCGCCAGCTACTTAGCCTAGTGTCCGCCTACCCAGCTGGCTGGCTAGCCATCTATCTAGGTCCCTAGCCAGCTAGATATCTAAGTAGCTTACCAGCTGTGTGTGTAGGTGGCTGGTGGGCTAGCTAGTTAGGGAAGCAATTAGCCACCTAGTTATCCAGGTAGCTAGCTAGGTAGCTATTTAGGTAGCTAGCTAGATATCTAGCCAGCCAGTTGTGTAGGTAGCTAGGTAGCTAGCTGTGTAGGCATCTGTCTCGCTACCTAGCCAGACCAGAGAACGAGCTGCCAGCTGGCTAGCTGGGCAGCTAGCCAGGGGCCAGCTGGGCAGCTAGCCAATGGCTAGCTGTGGAGCTAGCCAGCGGCTAGCTGGGCTGCGGACCTGCAATGCCAATGCCGTTGTTCGCCGAAGCTGCCACGATGCCAGCCACGTGGGTGCCGTGGCCGTGCTCGTCCATGGGGTCTGCGCTGCCGCGTTCGAAGTCGTAACCATGGTAGTCGTCCACGTAGCCGTTGCCTGCAGCAGCAGCAAGCAGCAGCAGCAGCGGCAGCGCTGCAGCAGCAGCGCTGCAGCAGCAGCACACGCGGAGCACGCGGCGCACACAGCAGGGGCGGCAGGCGAGGCAGGCACAGCGCAGGGGAAGAGTAAAGTGCGGAAATGCTGCAGCAGGTGCAGCAGCTGCAGCGGGAGCAGCAGGCGCAGCACGTGGGAAAGAATGAAGTGTGCAAATGCTGCAGCAGGTGCAGCAGGAGCGGCAGCAGCAGCAC